TACTACTACTGCAGGGCTTCGCCTAAGCACCGCTACAATATTATCGAGGACTATGGTGGCTGGGGGCGCCGCACACGACTAAGGAATAGATCACGTGGATCAACTTGTGTGTCTCTGGGGTGCCCTTGCCTCCGTATATAAAGGACTAAAGGGGGGGAGGCGGCCGGCCAAGGAGGGCGCGCCAGGAGAGTCCTACTCCCTCTGGGAGTAGGATCCCCCCCCCCAATCCTAGTTGGAATAGGATTCGCGGAGGGGGGAAAAGAGAGAGAGGGGCCGGCCCCCTCTCCTTGTCCTATTCGGACCAAGGGAGGGGAGGGGCGCGCGGCCCATGTAGGGATGCCTCTTCTCTTTTCCACTAAGGCCCATCATGGCCCATTTAGCTCCCGGGGGGTTTCGGTAACCTCCCGGTACTCCGGTAAAATCCCGATTTCACCTGGAACACTTCCGGTATCCAAACATAGGCTTCCAATATATCAATCTTTATGTCTCGACCATTTAGAGACTCCTCGTCATGTCCGTGATCACATCCGGGACTCCGAACAAACTTCGGTACATCAAAATGTATAAACTCATAATATAACTGTCATCGTAACCTTAAGCGTGCGGACCCTACGGGTTCGAGAACAATGTAGACATGACCGAGACATGTCTCTGGTCAATAACCAATAGCGGAACCTGGATGCTCATATTGGCTCCTACATATTCTACGAAGATCTTTATCGGTCAGACCGCATAACAACATACGTTGTTCCCTTTGTCATCGGTATGTTACTTGCCCGAGATTCGATCGTCGGTATTCCAATACCTAGTTCAATCTCGTTACCGGCAAGTCTCTTTACTCGTTCTGTAATACATCATCCCGCAACTAACTCATTAGTTGCAATGCTTGCAAGGCTTAAGTGATGTGCATTACCGAGAGGGCCCAGAGATACCTCTCCGACAATCGGAGTGACAAAACCTAAGCTCGAAATACGCCAACCCAACATGTACCTTTGGGGACACCTGTAGTACTCCTTTATAATCACCCAGTTACGTTGTGACGTTTGGTAGCACCCAAAGTGTTCCTCCGGTAAACGGGAGTTGCATAATCTCTTAGTTATAGGAACATGTATAAGTCATGAAGAAAGCAATAGCAACATACTAAATGATCGGGTGCTAAGCTAATGGAATGGGTCATGTCAATCAGATCATTCACTTAATGATGTGATCCCGTTAATCAAATAACAACTCCTTGTTTATGGTTAGGAAACATAACCATCTTTGATTAACGAGCTAGTCAAGTAGAGGCATACTAGTGACACTCTGTTTGTCTATGTATTCACACATGTATTATGTTTCCGGTTAATACAATTCTAGCATGAATAATAAACATTTATCATGATATAAGGAAATAAATAATAACGTTATTATTGCCTCTAGGGCATATTTCCTTCAGTCTCCCACTTGCACTAGAGTCAATAATCTAGATTACACAGTAATGATTCTCACACCCATGGAGCCTTGGTGCTGATCATGTTTTGCTCGTGGAAGAGGCTTAGTCAACGGGTCTGCAACATTCAGATCCGTATGTATCTTGCAAATCTCTATCTCTCCCACCTGGACTAGATCCCGGATGGAATTGAAGCTTCTCTTGATGTGCTTGGTTCTCTTGTGAAATCTGGATTCCTTTGCCAAGGCAATTGCACCAGTATTATCACAAAAGATTTTCATTGGACCCGATGCACTAGGTATGACACCTAGATCGGATATGAACTCCTTCATCCAGACTCCTTCATTTGCTGCTTGCGAAGCAGCTATGTACTCCGCTTCACATGTAGATCCCGCTACAACGCTTTGTTTAGAACTGCACCAACTGACAGCTCCACCATTTAATGTAAACACGTATCCGGTTTGCGATTTAGAATCGTCCGGATCAGTGTCAAAGCTTGCATCAACGTAACCTTTATGATGAGCTCTTTGTCACCTCCATATATGAGAAACATATCCTTAGTCCTTTTCAGGTATTTCAGGATGTTCTTGACCGCTGTCCAGTGATCCACTCCTGGATTACTTTGGTACCTCCCTGCTAGACGTATAGCAAGGCACACATCAGGTCTGGTACACAGCATTGCATACATGATAGATCCTATGGCTGATGCATAGGGAACATCTTTCATATTCTCTCTATCTTCTGCAGTGGTCGGGCGTTGAGTCTTACTCAACTTCACACCTTGTAACACAGGCAAGAACCCTTTCTTTGCTTGATCCATTTTGAACTTCTTCAAAACTTTGTCAAGGTATGTGGTTTGTGAAAGTCCAATTAAGCGTTTTGATCTCTCTCTATAGATCTTAATGCCTAATATGTAAGCAGCTTCACCGAGGTCTTTCATTGAGAAACTCTTATTCAAGTATCCCTTTATGCTATCCAGAAATTCTATATCATTTCCAATTAGTAATATGTCATCTACATATAATATCAGAAATGCTACAGAGCTCCCACTCACTTTCTTGTAAATACAGGCTTCTCCAAAAGTCTGTATAAAACCAAATGCTTTGATCACACTATCAAAGCGTTTATTCCAACTCCGAGAGGCTTACAGCAGTCCATAAATGGATCGCTGGAGCTTGCACACTTTGTTAGCTCCCTTTGGATCGACAAAACCTTCTGGTTGCATCATATACAACTCTTCTTCCAAAAATCCTCTCAGGAATGCAGTTTTGACATCCATCTGCCAAATTTCATAATCATAAAATGCGACAATTGCTAACATGATTCGGACAGACTTAAGCATCGCTACGGGTGAGAAGGTCTCATCGTAGTCGATCCCTTGAACTTGCCGAAAACCTTTTGCGACAAGTCGAGCTTTGTAGACAGTAATATTACCGTCAGCGTCAGTCTTCTTCTTGAAGATCCATTTATTCTCAATTGCTTGCCGATCATCGGGCAAGTCAACCAAAGTCCACACTTTGTTCTCATACATGGATCCCATCTCAGATTTCATGGCTTCAAGCCACTTTGTGGAATCTGGGCTCGCCATCGCTTCTTCATAGTTCGTAGGTTCATCATGATCTAGTAGCATGACTTTCAGAACGGGATTACCGTACCACTCTGGCGCGGATCTTACTCTGGTTGATCTACGAGGTTCAGTAGTATCTTGTTCTGAAGTTTCATGATCATCATCATTAGCTTCCTCACTAACTGGTGTAGGTGTCACAGAAACAGTTTTCTGTGATGCACTACTTTCCAATAAGGGAGCAGGTACAGTTACCTCGTCAAATTCTACTTTCCTCCCACTCACTTCTTTCGAGAGAAACTCCTTCTCCAGAAAGTTTCCGAATTTAGCAACAAATGTCTTGCCTTCGGATCTGTGATAGAAGGTGTATCCAATAGTCTCCTTTGGATATCCTATGAAGACACATTTCTCCGATTTGGGTTCGAGCTTATCAGGTTGAAGCTTTTTCACATAAGCATCGCAGCCCCAAACTTTCAGAAACGACAACTTTGGTTTCTTGCCAAACCACAGTTCATAAGGCGTCGTCTCAACGGATTTTGATGGTGCCCTATTTAACGTGAATGCGGCCGTCTCTAGAGCGTATCCCCAAAACAATAGCGGTAAATCAATAAGAGACATCATAGATCGCACCATATCCGGTAAAGTACGATTACGACGTTCGGACACACCATTACGTTGTGGTGTTCCGGGTGGCGTGAGTTGCGATACTATTCCACAATTTTTCAAATATACACCAAACTCGTAACTCAAATATTCTCCTCCATGATCAGATCGTAGAAACTTTATTTTCTTGTTACGATGATTTTCAACTTCACTCTGAAATTCCTTGAACTTTTCAAATGTTTCAGACTTATATTTCATTAAGTAGATATACCCATATCTGCTTAAATTATCTGTGAAAGTGAGAAAATAACGATATCCGCCACGAGCCTCAATATTCATCGGACCACATACATCTGTATGTATGATTTCCAACAAATCTGTTGCTCTCTCCATAGTACCGGAGAACGGCGTTTTAGTCATCTTGCCCATGAGGCACGGTTCGCAAGTACCAAGTGATTCATAATCAAGTGGTTCCAAAAGTCCATCAGTATGGAGTTTTTCATGCGCTTTACATCGATATGACCTAAACGGCAGTGCCACAAATAAGTTGCACTATCATTATCAACTCTGTATCTTTTGGCTTCAACATTATGAATATGTGTATTACTACTATCGAGATTTAACAAGAATAGACCACTCTTCAAGGGTGCATGACCATAAAAGATATTACTCATATAAATAGAACAACCATTATTCTCTGATTTAAATGAATAACCGTCTCGCATCAAACAAGATCCAGATATAATGTTCATGCTTAACGCTGGCACCAAATAACAATTATTTAGGTCTAATATTAATCCCGAAGGTAGATGTAGAGGTAGCGTGCCGACTGCGATCACATCGACTTTGGAACCTTTCCCACGCGCATCGTCACCTCGTCCTTAGCCATAGTTCAAGTAGTTTCAAATCTATACCCCCCCCATGTAGTGTGTGTAACATGTTCAGCAATTGGTTGCGGGGTATTGATAAACAATTTTCTACACATATTCTTGTTTGGGCGGCTGTCTTATGTTGGGCATTGTGGTTTACCAGGAACGATGTGGGTTTTAATAATAAATGTGGTTCTTCTCCTGTGCAGGTTATTCATGCATGTACACGATGGCTCTGTACTTGGTCTATCCTGCAGAAGTTGGAAGACAGAGACCTTTTTATGATGGCGTCTACACGGCTGGAGAGTACAATTAGGGAGGTTTTCTCCCTTCAAGGTTGGCGGTGTAATCTTCGTATAGGATCTGCCCCATCCTAGGCTGGGTTGATTTATTTTTGCTGCAAAACTATGTTTTTTTTTTGGTCGTTTGGACTTGTTGGCTGTGTGCATCATGTTATGCAGAGGTCGGGCATGCTTTAGATGCGGTTGTATCACCTTGATAAATTAATTCAATGAAATGTCCTTTATAAAAAAACTCAGTTATACTCAGCATAAGAGTGGATGTTATTTCCACTGCAATCCGTAAACCTTTTCTTGGAGTAGGTTAGGCATACAAGAGTACCGCACTATAAGCAGGACAAGAATTCAGACAACAGACAAGGATGAGACTAACCACCAACTGGACCCGGAAAACAACAACAAAACTAATAGGGGAAAATGATACCGCTGAGGGAAATATTGGTTTCCGATATAGATGATACATAAGAAAGAAACACATTGGCGTTGTTGAACAAAGCAATGAAGTATATTTGATATACTTTCCATTTTCTGATGATACACTATTACGTCACATGTTCTTAGAACCGACATGGAAAATATGGACACTTCATTGGATAAGTATAAATCCAGTGCTAAATAAAAATGAACAAGGCCTTAAACATGATTGGGCCATTGTACATTCTTGTACAATTGGGTTCCAACCAGCATACCAGTCTCTAAGATGCCCTTGTACATTCTTGTTAATTGCTTACCGGTACCCTGTCAAACAAGGTGTATATGGAAATGACACGGTTATGAAACACTCGTTCTGCAATGCCAAATGACAAGTTGTTGGGTATAAGTAGCCAAGGTCCTGAACCTTCGAATCTTTCAAATGATAGGCAATTCCTCTGTACATTGATACACCCAGAAAGGCAATTTCTTTATATGGATGGAATCCAAGGATATCAAAGTATCCATTGCCACGAGCATCAACCACATCTTCCTTATGAAGTATGTTGTCATTTTCGGAGTCCCATTCAAACTTTTCTTCCACTAGCTGTTCCTTGCCGGAGTTTAACTCTAATTTGTTCTCTTTTAGGTATTCCATGTATTCTGTATCTTCGCCACCTTCAATGAGATCCTTTCTCTCTTTGAGATACTCATTATAGTTAATATCTTGTAAGACCCATGGGCCAAGAACAGGGCGATCATAATCCAGTATGGGTGGAAGTCGAACCTGCCGGAGATGGTGGGGCCGGTGGAGGGACTGGCGAAGAACTCCGACACACGTTCGCAGTAGAGATTGATGAATACGCCGCCGACGGAGAGCGGGAGGACGTCCGCGCGCAGCAGGCGGCGGGCGTCGATGACGGCGAGCAGGGCCTTGCAGGCGCAGCGGCACACGGCAAGGCCGCGCGGCGCGACGCGGCGGAGCACGTCGGCGAGTATTTCCTCCGGCAGCACCTGCGTCAGATCCATCTCGCTGCAAGGCGCCGCCTGTGAAGAGCTGGGCGGTTTTGGAAGTGGAGAGAGAGAGAGAGAGAGAGAGAGGGTTTGGATGCTACGCGTGAGACATCAGATGCGCTGTGTCTGTGGACTATTTGAAAGTACGCCCCTTGTGGTGTTAGTGTTGGTAAGACAACCCAGTTTGCTTCGCAACTAAGTTTACTTCACAAGTAAGTTCAACTTCACAACTAAGTTTACTTCACAACTAAGTTTTCTTGTGACTTTGTGAGGAAAGGATTTCCATGTCGGGCGACCGGTCTCGTCTTCGGCCGGTCGCACGGTCACGTGCCATGTTGCTGTGGACACATGCCACCGTTTCCCTTTCTCCCTTTCCTTATCGTCGACCGAGAAACCCGGTCCTCTCGTTCCCATCTCACCTTTCCCCTTCATCTTTGTGTGGGGATCATCACGGATGGCCGTCCTAGCACGCCTCTCCTCTGCTCTCTCTTGCCACCACAAAGGCTGCCGCGCGTCTGGACTACGCTAATCGTAATGCTGCTACAGTTTTGCCTCCAACTTGTGACAGAGCGACCATGCTGCTCCACGCGCACATTGTCCACCGAAGGATAGAAGAGCTAACGACGTAGGGAGGAGGGAGAGGGAGACGATGTCGCTGCATGGGCGAAGGGGGTGCCCCGCCTCTCGCCATCGGGCACGCCAGTGGCCTCCCCCACCTCCCCACCCCCCTACAACCTCTTTTATGACCGAAGCACATGGGGGTTGTGACAACATCACGAGCCTCGACGGAGAAGCTCCAAACGCCCATCTGCGGAGCTGCGGCCTGCTGGAAGAAAGCTACACAACTGTGACACCAGCTATGAGATCTGACGACAGCGACCAAGGGATGCAATGGTGCTGGAACCAGCAGAGGGGCATCCTCAGACTACCTGACGAGCGGTGCTGGGATGTCGGAACTAGCAGTCGGGTGTACTACAACCAGCAGGAGCCGAAGCTTTGACCGGTGGCGCAGGATGCCGAAACCAACGGTAGGGATGCAACCAGCTAGCGGAAAGTTGAAACCGTGGCACCTACGAGATGCGTCAACGGCGACGGAGGGATGCGACAGTGCAGGAACCAACAGTAGGAATGCCGGAACCAGTAGAGGCCTTAGGGTGTTTGAACTAGTAGTTGGGTGTGCTACGGCCGGCAGGAGCCGAAGTTGTGACCGGTAGCGTGGGACGTTGGAACCAACAATGTAGGGCGTGTTGCGACCGACATGAGCGTTGACCGCGAGTGTTGCAACCGATAGCGCAAAATGCTGTGGGCGATGGTGCAGGGTGCTAGAACTTGCATCGAGCGTTGCTAGAACAGGCATCGGCAACGCTTCAACATGCGGATGTTGCGACGAACACAACAGCCAATATGATACCTAATCATGCCTCTAAAACTAGCTCATTTACTGATGATGATCATGAGCATTGTTATAGTAACAAGGTTGTTATCAATAATGAGATCACATTGTTATCAGAACAATGGTGTTGAGCACTTGACTCTCAGCTTCAAGATGATCTAGTCGAGCACATTATACAAGTCATATTACAAAGTTCAAAAGCGGCGCAACACTGGCATGAGTGCAGAAGATGAGCTCCGTAGACATCTCCTCTAGTGTTGTGAAGGTGGGGTTGGAGGTGGAGGAGGCAGCTCCTTAGTAAGAGCTAGCACTTGTGCACTAAGCGCCTGTAGTTGTTTCTATGTTTCCTCCAACATCTGCACATGTTCCTGCTCATGTGCACTCCGTTCTTTGTCATGTTGATGTCCGTCAGATGACGGTATGGATCAAAGGAATCCTCCTATCTTCGACTGAACACCCTTTTACTACCCTTTTACTGGGATTTCGCATTCCAATTCCGATTGGAATATCACTAGTTTAAATGAAAAAGTAAAACTCATTTACTGTCACATATTCTACCCCGCTTCTTCCCCTGATCTTTCTTTCCCTCTTCCCATAAACATTGATTCTCTCTCCTAACCACTCTTAAATATGTGAAATACACGGAATCGATCCAAAACTGCAAGCAAGGGAATCAACTCTTATTGCCGTAAAGGAAAAATAACCCCTTTCCTTTATATATATATATATACAAGGAACAAGTAGCCTTCGCCACCTATTCCTGAATTAAGGGAACGCGACAAAGATTTCTCTATGTCAATTCAAAACAAAACAAACGGACGACTGAATCCTATAAACGAAATTCTTTTGAGAAGAGCTTGCGCCTATGCTTCTATAAAAATCACCTATGTGGAACGGATGCTTCTACTTGGTCATCATAGACCAGCAAATCCATTTGAGAGCTGTCTTTCTTTGATGGTAGTGTCCTTTCTTCACGTTCACCATCTCTGGAGAGCTTAACAAGATAATCCACGCCAACAACCAAATCCAACAAGCCTTCGCTCAGAAGCTCTTTCTTCATCTAAGCTTTTAGTAACATTAGCTGTCATCAATAGGGTGGAACGCATTAACCAGTAGAAACCTTGCTTCAAGGTAGATTCTTACATGTTTGGAGTTTTGTCTGGATCCAGGTACCTCAACTATTGGCCTTACATGGCCTGACATGGGTATTCCCTCTTTCTAGTCCCACTCTTCTCCAACAGAGCTCCCTCACTGAGCGAGCATTCGGCATTCCTAGTATGCTCCACTCATTCTACGCCAAGCACCCAATCACGGGATCGGAATCACACTCTAGATCATACCTTTCACGAAAGAAAGGGACAGGCAGCCGCTGCTAAACCAAGATCTCCATCTCTTGACTCCGTCAATCAATCTTACCTTATAGGGCACAAAGGTATATTTACCATACGAGATGTGTGCACCTACTAAAGGGAATAGAAAGATCTTGAGCACAAATACTCCACTTTTCACCAAAGACATAGATTCACCAATGATTGGTTGGACTAAATACGACATTTATTTGCTCAGAAGAAGGAAAGTTGGCTGTGAGAATGATTTCTCGTACGTAGTCTTTCCTAGGACCATTCCAACAGGATGCTCAGAGGTGGGTGGAGAAAAAGCTCAAAAGGCATACTTCCTGCGCTTTCAGAGGATCTAAATTAGTCTTCATCCTTTCGCTTTTCAAAGCCCTCGCAATAAATATGTAAATTCATTTCGCAGAAATTCAGAGATTTTTGATCTCCTCGAAAGAAAATGAGTTCGATCAGCAACACTGGTCTTTGCAGCACCAGGATAAAGACCTTCTTTTTACCCATAACCTTTCTCTGCAGCATTGGAACCAAGATCGGGCTTGGCATAGTTACGAGGTTCCCGTTCTATTTAACTAACACTAACTGAAGCTAACCGGAAGCTTTCTTCTCATGTGACTCTTGGATCGAAAAGAGGCTGCTGGACTAGACCACGGCTGAAACTGCCAGGCACGGACTAAAAGCTTTTATCAGGGATTCCCGAGTCAAACGACTACCATACATAGCATAGAGCTGGAAGCTGCACTAGTGTACAGAGAAGATTGGATGTGAACACGGGCGGACATTGGCTATGTATGGGGCACTCACTAATCACTATTAGCAGGAAACAACTAGCAGAAAGAAAGATGAACGCACTTTCACTCCTTGCTCTTCAGCACGTACTCACACGAGGGACTCTCAAATCTCTATTTCAGACCATAATCTTTCGATCCCTTTACCGAAGTGATTGATAGCAGGGCTAAAAAATCATAGGGCTTCTTCTATTTTTAGTGTGAACTCACTTCTATTCTATATCAAGATAGGGGCTTCAGTACTTGGCTGACCGCCCGGTGGAAGACCTGGTTCTACCACACAAGGGCATCTTTCGTAGTCCAGGATTATTTTCCTCATATGTACACCTCAATGTGGAAATGTCCGATCTTATTCCAAAATAGAAGGTCTTCATGAAGGTCTGTCTTGTTTCAGGAATATAGGTACCGAAGTTCAATAGCGGTAGGTACCAAGGAGAAGACGAGTCAGGGCCGATTGACAAGACTAGCTAGGCTGACCTTCCAGCCATACTCCATCCAATATCGAACGGAAGTGCTAAAGGTTTCATGTGATGCTGACCTCAATGAACCAGACCTCGAGAATTCGTTCATCCCTTCGCTCCGAGGATTGGTCGAGTACTTGGCCACATGCATGAGTAGGCCTGTTGCCGGGATGTCCCATTAAAAAGGCAGGTCCCATATTTGAAATACAAAAATAAGATCAGATAGCGCTCAAGAGGTTTTTCTCCATACGAGAAATCCTTCACTCGCAGGGAATTCAAATAGATGTGTTGAAGATCATCAAAGAAAGGAAAAAGACTGAATTCGATCCATCTCCTCCCTTTTCTTTAAACCAAGAGCTACTCCTCCCTTTTCTTTTTTTATGTAATTTCAATACGATTTCGTTGTGTTCATGTTTTTAATTTAGAACCCCACGAAAGTGAATAGAAAAAAGAAAAATAACTTCATCGACTTCAGATTCCTTACTTACGACTTCAGATTCCTGCCTTAGCCTCCTTTCTTCCTCTAACTGGGTCTGTCATATGTCATCGCAATCTCGAATGAAGTTTGCAATGCAAGAATGTAAATACATGGGAGGATGAATGAATTGGCGGAAAGTGATGTTATGTGGCTTGCCGAGTTGCTGGCGCAACATGAGGCTACGACGGTTAGTTCCTGCCCGTAATGCCTTCATGGTAGTATTAGTTTCATATTAATGTTTTGGACCTAAAATCAAGGCAGATGCATTAGTAATTTAATTAAGATAGTATGCTCATATTAGTGACAATGCAAGCTTAAGATCTGAAAGTTATATTGTCAGAAAACTTATATGCACCCCCATGAAATAAATGTAAAAAAATGCTTTAATGTTTCTTACCTGCCTCAAGTTACTTCATCTTGAGAAAGCTAACTGAAGAGATAGTCACATTCTGCTCTACTCTTCCACTCCTGTGCTCTCTTTCTATTCAACGAGGGTCTGGCTCGAAACAAAGCACATACTTACCATAGTGAAGACATGTTTAGGCG